AATAATACATTTAGTACAGAGTCTACAGGGTCTCACTGCATAGATTGGACTCGTAGTGATTCTCCTGTTTTCAGCCTCCCAAGCGCTGGGATTAGAGGCGCGCGCCACCATGCCCAGTCTCACTCGCCCTCCATTGCACCTGGGGGAGGGATTGGCAAGACATGCTGGGGATTGAACCCTGGGCGCTGCACTCTGCCTAAGCAGGCATTTTAGTCCGCTGAGCTATCTGACCAGTCCTTATATAATATTTTGAGTCCACAGCAGTATGTGTGGTGCGTTGCTGACCAAAACATCATTCTACAACATATGACTGTACTTCATCAAATGTGCTAAATCTCTGCACACCTGCCCAGTGGGGGAATAGTTAGGCATGAACACATTTGCTTCCTCTATGTTGGCCCAACTTTTTAAAAATAATCTGAACTTGATTAAATACTAGAGAAATACTTGTGTTATCTAAAACAGCTACAGCTACATTTTTTAAACTATATCTAAAAAAGAAAAATCTTCCTATGCAGCTAATATTTATGTTAAAGTTTGTGAGCCAACTTACATTTTATTAAAAGCAGTGCTCCTAACTCACCTTATCTTTTCTCAAAGTGCAACTTTAATAAACTTATTTATATTTCCTTAGGAAATAATAACAAATTGCTGGCTGGGGAGATAGTTCAGTTTTCTAAGCTCCTGCCCAGCAAGCGCAAGGTCCTGGGCTTGATTCCCGGTACCTTATGCCATGCCACCCCTGGAACCCTGCACTGTGCTGGACGCCAAAACCAAGCATGGTGGCTCAAGCCTTAATCTCAGCACTGAGGAGGCTGAGAAAGGATCACTATGAGTCTGAGTTTTGTAGTGAGATCCAGTACCAAATAAATAAATAAATAGAAGATTAAAACAATAACAAATTGTGCCATCATACAAGGAAGGACACCAGTTATAAATGTCAGCTTCCAGCAGAGGAATTGAGGCCAGCTGTCTAGGTCAATGTCATATCTGAGCTAATAGCCTGTGCAAAGTTTGGTAGTCCTCATGTAAGTAGAATATTTTATGCATGGTACCAAAGAGGAAACCACGAAGTATTTCCCTAAGGATATATTGTAAATTTAAGCAGCCTTCTATTGATGGACTTTTAGATTACTTATATTTTTTGTGACTTTTCATAACAGTGCTCCAAGCATCTTACATATATCATTGAATTGTGAGCTTCCGTACAGCATGTCTTTATAAGTGGAATTCATTTCAACAAATACTATTGAATTTCCCTTGCCAAGGATGATTCTTTCCCATAGTGCAGGAGTGCCTGGTCACCCACACCTGTGGTAACATTGGAGAGTATCAAGCTCATTAGGCTTTGTCAGTCTGATCAATAAAAAATGGGCACTTCGTTTAATTTTAATTTATTCCTAAAGAGGTGGGCACATTTTTCTGTGAATTGTATTTGAAAATATCCTTTGTTATTTTGTTTCTCTGTGCTGTATTTTAAAAGCATGCATTTGTAATTACGTTCCCTTTCATCATTTGTGCTTTATACTATATAGGGCTTTTAAAGGGAATCACCTTTGACAGTGAAGGGGACCCAGGAGGGCTTGGGGATGCTTGCAATGCTCAGTGTCTTGACCTAGTGATACTTAGTGAAAGACAAATTTTTATTGCTCTGTACATTGAAGGTTGTATACTTTATAGGGGTGGGCAGATAACTCGGCAGTCTAAGCGCCTGCCTGGGAAGCACAAGAACCCAGTTCAATCCCCAGAAATACATGCCATGCCTGCCCTAGAACCCCAAGCTCGACCCTGCAGGCTACTGAAACCAGGTGTGGTGGCGCACACCTGTAATCCCTCTACCAAATTAAAAAGAAAAAAGGTTGTATACTTCATGTAATACCTAATTTTAAAATTAGGTATTATATTAAGTAAATTAATTATTAAGTAAATTTTACTAAGTAAATTTAGTACTAATTCAGAGATTTTAAAAGCAACACTCCTCACATTTTAAGAGCTCTAAAATGAGTATGCTTCTTAAAAACTTTTAATGTGTAATACTTTAATTGCCAGCATTTTATCTTTATTAGGAGTCCAAAATGGTGCATTCTAAATTTTTCCTTTTCATTTTTTAATTTATATTAAAGAGACTACAAAAATAATAGATAAGATATTAGAGATAATACACACTTTCAAAAAAGATGAGGGCTGGGGAGATAGCTCAGTGGCATAAGTGCCTGCCCTGCTGGTGTAAGGTCCCTATTCTATCCCCAGTAATGCAAAAAAAAAAAAAAAGGCATTCAATCATGGTTGTATTGTACATTGTTGCTCAGATTACAGATATTAGTAAAAAAAAAAAATTGGTCAAAGTAAAAATTTTAAACATTACCTGCTTGCTTTAAAAGACTGATAGGAATTAGTAGTACAGTCATTTTAGCTATTCTGTGTGCATAGTTACATGATTTTTCCCCCTTTGTTTCTTTCTTTTCTCCTTTCCCTCACCTGTTGTTTATTCCTTATGCTCAGTTTCTTTCTGTTCTAATATATCTATTGTATCTTTCAGATTTTATTCTTTTAGGTTCTTACACTAGGGAAATGTTTACGCATGTGGGTCTGATTTATTTCACTTATGAGTTAAACCTCTAATTGCATCCATTTACCTATAAAAGCCCAAGTTATCTTTCTTTATAGCTGAGTAAAACTCCAGTTTATAGAAATACCACTTCTTTTTGACCAATTCCTCAGTTGATGGGCATTTGTGTTGTTTCCAAGATTTAGCTATGACAAACTATGCTGCTATAAACATGAGTTCATATGGTATCACTGTTGTGTGATGTTTTCAATTCTTTTAGAAAAATACCCAGAAGGGGAATAGCAGGGTTGAATGGGACCTGTAATGCTAGTTTTTTGAGGAGTCTCCACACTGATTTCCACAGTCGTTGTACTAGATTATGCCTGCACCACCAGTGGAGAAGGGTTCCTTTCCCCATGGCCTCTGCGGCATTCGCTGCTCATTGATTTCCTTATGATAGCCATTCTTTTTGGAGTGAGATGGAATCTCAGTGTTGTTTTAATTTGCACTTCTCAAATGACCAGTGCTCTTGAACATTTTTTCTTATATTTGCATTCAACAATTAATAATGTTTTCTTTCCTTCTTTCATTTAACAAGCATGAAAATATCTTCTCTGAGCCAGGCTCTGTAAGAGAGAAAAGCTTTTTCTGTGTCATGTGTGCCAGAAATTATGAGCTATTCTAAAATCATTTTTTAAAAGAACTTCTAGTGCTTTTATGTTCTTCATTCTTTGCTTATGTCTCCCGTGATTTGCTTTTCTAGGTTTCTGTTAGATTTCGGAACGGTTAGTTTTTACCTCGGATATAATGCAATGCAGGACTTTTTTCCTACTATGTCCATGAAGCCCAATCCCCAGTGTGATGACAGAAACTGCAGGAGGCAGCAGGAAGAGTATAAGGTATGTGACGGCCCGTCCTGGTGTCTGAGGGATCAGTTTCTGTGTGTGATGGCCTTTTCTTTTGCTCTTGTTGCAGGCTGCTTTTTAGTAAATGTTTGTAGCACATCACAATCTTGTTCACTGTGAGGAGTCGGTCCACGTACAGAACATACCTTAATGCTTCTTATGCCCTATTCCCTCCCAAGTATGTCTTTCTCATCCCCCCTTTTCTCTCCCTCCATCTCTTTGCTTTTGCTTATTATCTATCTTTTATTTTACTTTCCTTATAGTTCGGCTTTCTTATATAAGAGAAACTATGTGCTATTTAAGTTTGGATGTTTGGTTCGTTTCACTTAACATTATGGTCTCAGGGTGCACCTATTTCCCTACAAATGACTCAAGTTTATCCTCCTTCGTGGCAGAGTAATATTCCATGTGCATAAAGACTACATTTTTTCTGTCCATTTATTATTGATGGACATGTCGGCTGCTTCCAAGATTTAGCCATTATGAATTGTGCTGCTGTAAGCATGAGTGATATGATGTTTTTAACTCTTAGGAAGATACCTAGGAGGGGAATAGCTGGGTGGAGTAGTATTTCCGGTTTTAGTTTTTTTAAGAATCTTCATTCTGATTTCCACACTAGTTATACTAGCTTATTTTTCCAGCATGAAGAAGGGTTCCTTTTCCCCTAGAGTCTTGCCCTCAGTTGTTGCTATCTGAATTCTTGATGATGGCAGTTCTGTTTGGACTAAGAAGGAATTTTGGTATAATTTTAATTTGTATCTCTCTAACGGCCAGTGATGGTGAACATTTTTTAATGTATATATTGGCTATTTGTATTTCTTCTGAGAGTTTCCCATATTTTGATTGGGTCTTTATTTTGGGATTAATTTTTTCAGTTTTTTTTTTATATATATATTCTAGATATTAGTCCTCATTCTAAGGAATAGCTGGAAATTTTTTTTTCCCATTGAGTAGGTTGTTTTTTCACTCTTGGTTATTTCCTTTATTGTAAGAAGCTATTAAATTTACATAATCTCATTGGTTACTTCTTAGTGTTATTTTTTCTGTAATTGGAGTTCTGTTCAAAAAGTCCTCTTGTCTATGCCTATCTCTTTTAGGATTTTACCTATTTTATCTTATGGCAGGTTGTTTCTGTTTTAATACTTAGATCTTTGATCCATTTTGATTTTAGTTTAGTACATGGTGAGCGATGTGGATTCCCCCTGAATCTTCTGCTTGTGGATAGCCAATTTTCCCAGCAGCATTTTTGTAAGAGTTATCTTTCCTCCACTGTTAAGTCTTGGACCACTTTGTCAAAGATGAGATAGTTGAATGTGTTGGAAGTTGTTTCTGCATGTACTGTTCTGTCCCATTTACCCACATGTCTGTTTGGGTGTTTTGATTTTTGCCGCAACCATGCTGTTTTTTTTCTGTAGCTTTAAATATTACTTTAGATCTGGGATTGTGGTTCTTTCTACCTTTTCCTTGTTACCCAGAATTGCTTTTGCTATTTTTAGGTCTCTTCTGATGCCACATGATACCTAGGATAATTTTCTCTAGTTCTGAGTGTTACTTGTATTTTGATTGCAATTAAATGAAATCTGTGTATGAGTTCTGAAAGTATGGTCATTTTGACTATATTGGTTCTGTGGATCCAGGAAAAAAGGTATCTTTCCATTTTCCGAGGGCCTCTTTGACCTTTTTCACAATACTATAGTTTTCACCATAGAAGTCTTTAACTTTCTTGGTTAGATTGATTTCTAAGTATTTCATTTTTCTTAATGCTATTGTGAAACTTATTATTTTCTGAATTTCTTTCTCAGGGAATTTATTGCTGTATAGAAACCCTATTAATCTTTTGAGTACAGACTTTCTATACTTCTACTCTGTGGAATTTGGTTAGGAATCTTTGATGCAGTTTTGGGGTCTTCCATGTAGCAAAACATGTCATCTGCAAATAATGATAATTTAAATTCTCCCTTTCCTATACATATGCCTTTCATTTCTTTCTCTTGCCTGGTTGCCGTGGCTGTTTTGAGAACTATATTAAACAGTGGTGATAGTGGGCATCCTTGCCTTGTTCTGGATTTTAGAGGGAAAGCTCAGCTTCTCATTTAATATGATGTTGGCCATTTGTATGTCATAAATGACTTTTATCCAATTGAGATAAACTCCTATATTGTTGTTCATCATTTCTGAAAACATGTTGCATTTTATGAAAGACATTTTCTAAATCAATTTAGATGATCAAGTGATTATTGCCCTTGCTTCTATGTGACATATTACATTTTTGATTTGTGTATATTGGAACAATCCTTACATCCCTGGGATGAATCTTACTTAGTCATGATATTTTTGATGGTTCATTGCATTCTGTTTGCTAGTGTTTGTTGAGGATTTTTGTGTCACCGTTTATTAAAGAGATTGGCCTGTAGTTTTCTTTTTTTTTTTGGTTGGATCTTTTTCTTGTTTTTGAGTTAGAGTAATGCTATCTTTCAAGAATGACTTTGAGAGTGCTCTTTCCCTTTCAATTTCATTAAATAGCATGAGGAGTATTTGTGTTAGTTCTTAAAGAATTTGGATGTGAATCTATTAGGGGTAAAGCTTTTTTTAGTGATTTTTTTTTTTTTTTTTTTTTTTTACTTCTTTAATCTTATTACCTAATACTGGATTATTCAGAGTTTTTATGTATTCTTGGTTGAGTTTTGTTAGTTTGTATCTAGAAATCCATCCATTTTATCTGAATTTTTCATTTTATTAGAGTACAGGCTCTCAAAGTATTTACTTGTAATTTTCTAAATCTTGGCAGTTCATTGTAATTTTGCCATTTTAAAATTTCTTATTTGGCTTATGCCTTTTTTAAAAAGTAAGGTTGGCTAGAGACTTATCTACTTTGCTTATTCTGTTAAAGCTAGCTTTTTAATTTATTAATTCTTTGGATTGTTTTTCTAGTCTCAATTTCATTATATCCTGCTCTGATCTTTATAATTTTCTTTCTTGTACTAGCTTTGGGTTTGGATTGTTTTTATTTTTCTAGGACCTTGAGGTGTATCATTATTTAGGTTTGGAATTAAATAATGTGGGCATTCACAGACATAAATTTCCCTTTTAGAACTGCTATCATTGTGTTCCATAGGTTCCAGTATGTTGACCTGGCATTATCATTTCATTTTTCTATGATTCCTTGATTATTCAAAAGGCTATTTTGCCTTAATGTCCATGTTTGCATAATTTTTATGGTTTCTTTTGGCATTGATTTCTAGATTCATTGCACTATGATTTGACAATAAGCATGGGATAATTTTAGTAGTTTTGCATTTACTTAAATATGCTTTATGGGCTAGCATGTGGTCAGTTTTTGAGAAAATCTGTGCTGTTGAGAAGAATGTGTATTCTGTTGTTGGTGGAACTGTGATGTCTATCAAGTCCATTTGTTTGATGATGTGGTTCTACTTTGATATTTCTTCGTTGGTTTTTTTGTCTAGTTGTGATAGTGGGTTGAGGGCTCCTATTATAATTATCTTGGTATTTACCTGATGTTTTATGTTTAATAGTTTGTTTTATGAAGACAGGTATATAATTGTTGTCTTTTTCTGATGAATTAGTCCTTTAACCAATAAGTAGTGACCTTCTTTGCCTTTTCTAATTAGCTTGGCTTGAAATCCACTGTGTCTGAAATCCAGTTTGCTATCCATACATCCTGCTTTTTTCCAGGTTCTCATTGCATGAAATATTGTTTTCATTTCTTTGATTTTTAATTTGTGTGATTCTTTTGGATAAAATGTGTTTTCACTCGTAATCCAGGCAGGCATTTATGCCACTGAGCTATATTCCCAGCCCCTTCACTAATAATCCAAAACACTTGTATATCAAAGCAGGGAGATGAAACACTAGTTGTGATCATGTGACTTTCAGCATAACATACTTCTTGTAAGACATTGCTCATTTATCAAGTTAAAATTTCTTAGAAACATTTTCTCAAAAAAAGTTTATTTTCTCATCTTGCAGAACACTCCCTACTATTATTGGGTTTTGTTTCCTGATCCATTTTGCCAATCTGTGTCTTTTGGATGGGAAAATGGCACCATTCACACTGAGAGGTGTTACTGAGGTTTTTTTTTTTTTTTTTTTTTAAATATATATTTAGGGTATGCAGGGTTTACAGGGTCTCACTACATACATCGGACTTGTAGTGATTCTCCCGTTTTCAGCTTCCCATGCACTGGATTTAAAGCCACCATTTCCAGTCTCAATTTCTGTCTCAGTGCGCCCCAGGGGTGGGACTAGCACTGCAAGCCAGAGATCAAACACTGGCCGCTGTGCTCTGCATAAGCAGGCACTTTGGTCTGCTGAGCTATCTGGCTGGTCATATTGAGTTCTTACTTACCCTATCATTGCATTGTTTTCCTGTTGCTGATTTTCTTCGCTATCCCTTTCTGGTTGATCTACTCACCCTACCTGTGTATGTGTTGTATTCGATTTTTTTGAGGGGGTGGTATTTTTGGCTTCATTATCTCTAAGATGTCATTCAGAGTTTTTTGAGGTGGTTGTTTGGTGGTCAGGAAGTTCTTGGGTACTTTTTACCATGGAAATACTTTATTTCTCCATCAATTTGAGAGTTGTTTTGCAGAATATATAAGTCTATTTAAAAACTATTACCTTTTAGGCTTGAAACACTGTACTCTTACATTCTCCTGGCCTTCAAGGGTTCTCTTGGAAAGTCTACAGTAAATCTAATGATTTACCTTTATTAATTATTCATTTTCTCTACCAGCCTTTAAGTTTCTGTCTCTTTATTGGACTTAAGATATTTTGATTATGATGTATTGTGGAGAGGTTCTTTTTTGATCATGGTTGTTTGGGGTTCTGTATGCCTCACTTATGTGTATGTTTGATTCTTTTTCAATGTAAGTTTCCTGCTATTCTGTAGTATCTTTTTAATCTCTCATGCCATCTTCTGATGTTCATTTATTCCACTTAATCTTAGTCTTAGTGTCATCTAACAGGTTTAGAATTAATTTTTCATGTTTTCGTATTGTTTTTAAGGTATTTCTAATTGCTTCTGATGGCCTCCCTATCTTTTTATTCTGGTACCCTGTCCTTATATTGCTCACCTTTGCTGCCTACACTTTCAGTATAATTTTTTAATCTCCAGAATTTGTGTTTGAAAACTTCTTCATGGACTCTAGTTCTTTGCTATATTTGACTATTCATGTGTTGTATCATTTTATTTACCTCAGCTAGCTTTTTGTTAGCATCTACTCTTCCTTCTAGGATTTGCAGTTTTGAAATTCAGCAAGTCTCAGTTTTTGATTAGCTTTTCATCCCTTCAGCCTGTGGGTTTGTGAGGTGCACCCCCTATTCCAGAGGTCCCACAACTGTGCCAACTGTCCATGCCCAAACATGTTCTTCTTCATGTTGGTGGATAGGGAAAGCAATTAGACCTCAGATCTGTGCTGAATATTGGCAGCAAGGCAAATGTTCAAGTACTTAATGCCAACAGGCATTTTCAGACCCAGCTGTTTCTGAGCACAACTCCGTGCCTCCTGGCCTGAGCTTAAATTTCTCAGGGGATCTCCTTCTAGCCTGCTGCCTATCTGCAGCTGTCCAGGTACTCTCTCACCAAGTCACTATGGGAAGGTACCACTGGGAGCTCTAAAAGGTTTTTTTTTAATTATTCTGAGTCCCATATTAAAGTAATCAAATTCTCCAAATGGCATCTGAACAAGCACTCTGGTGGTTTAGGGGTATGTGAGCTTGGATCTCTCTCCAGCTGTTGCTTACTGTGGAGTTCCTTTGGAGTGATAACCCATCCTGGGATGCTGCTCTTTCTCCCTGGATCTCTTAGCCCTAGGGACTACCTTGCTTTGGTTGTTGGGCATTTCCTGTCCCCAGAAACCTTAAAAGCCAGGAGGACAGTCCCATGAAGATCATATTGCATAGAACAATAAACTTTTTAAAAAAGAAACACACTTGAAATATAAATGGATTCTGTATCTTTAATATATTCATCATATTCAAAATGAAAATTGTGACCCCTGATAAGGTAAAAATTATCTCAATTCTTAATGCTTCAGAGAACTGACAATGAGAAAACATTTGGTGCTGTTTGATTTCTACAGAAAAAGGTGGTTGCAGTGCCTAAGCAGGAGACTGTTCAAGAGGAGGAGGAGATAATACATGAGGATAATGAGTGGGGTAAGGATTTCTTATAAATTAAAGTAGTTGCATGAAAAGATCTTTTGTGGTGGGAAATACAAAATTATGCAAATTTTAAACAATTATTGCTTATGAAGTTTCTTCAGAACTGTTACAGGAGTAAATTTAATTTTGCAGGTATTGAGCTCGTATCTGAAGTTTCAGAAGAAGAACTAAAAAGTTCTTCAGGTCCAATTCCTGAGTTACCAGAAGGAATTACAGTGGCATATACAATTCCAAATAAGGTAATTATAAAATTTAACTTAACTATAAATTTAAGGTACTTCTAAAATTTAATTTACCTATAAATAAGCAGGAGCTAAGAGAAAATTATTATTATTTATTTTTTTATTTTGCGGAATCAGGGATTGAACTCAGACCCTTGCGCTTGCCGGGGAAGCGCTTATTCTATTGAGCCATCTCCCCAGCCCTGAGAAAATGTATTTTTATCTGCTCATTCTATTTTTTAAGCTAGGGCTGTGTTTTCTATTTTAGATACAGTTGATACTGTACACTAACCATTAAAATATGAGAGGTATTCAGTGTTCCTATAGAGATGAACATAGCTCATTTTAAGTTAGTTGAAAACACAGACATCAAATGGTTTTGTTTACTCATAATGAATCAGTTTTTGTTTGCATGAAAACATTGTTTTTGTGTATAGTTTTGTCTATAATACCATTTCAATAAACATTCTATAGAACCTTTCTTAAGAGGATACAAATAGCTAACAATATATTTTAAAACTGCTGAACATTTCTTTTTGCTTTTTTTTTCTTTTCTTTTCTCATCATCAGAGAAATGCAAATCAAAACCAAGTGAGGTATCATCTCATTTTATTAGAATGGCTGTTATGAAAAAGACAAAAGATTAATAAGTTCTGGTGAGGATGTGCAAGAAAAAGAACTATATTCTGTTAGTGGAGATGTAAATTAGTGCAGCCATTATAGAAATAATGTTGAAGTTTCTCACTTAACCATATACATATAAATGTAATTCTTAAGGAGAAACAAAGTCCTTGAGTTTCCCCACCAGTATTTTATTTATCAGGCAGTAATTTTAATATTCTTGACATTTTTATTTGTTTTTAA